AAGCCGGGCGGCCTCTCTCGAAGATACGGTATCTTTTTGCCAACACCAATTCTTTACCAGATTAAGATCTGGCGAAAAGATGCTTCCCGTGGCATCTCACAGCCAGCAAGGCGGGTCGAAACCATCGCATCAATCCACCTGTTTCCTGTTTGGTTATCCCAGTGAGGCAAGCTGGTGGGGCAACTACAATCGGAACCGGTGACTGCCAGTGTACTGTAGAGGGGCAGGGCCCACCTTCTTTATCGGGAAGCATGAGGAAGCCAGATGGTATCTGGCATCACAAAAAGCAAAAGAAGGGTACCGGTAGCTGCCAACCTGGACTGAATGCAACTCTTTGTCAGGTCAGCCACCAATACCGTCTGCAATGGAAAAAGAATGAAGATCTTGGTTTTGGAGACCACAAATCTTCTTCCCCGTTCAAAGGTAGGCCAGGGATTGGTCCTCAAATAGCAAGTACTAGCTAGCTATCCTCGACCGTGGCTGCTTGTACCGCAACCGGACGTGGTGTTTGTAGAGGACACCGTAGGTAGCCAGCCAATGATGTGCTTCTTGGCTTTAACCTGGTGATGCCGTCACCAGAGTCGATTGCTTGGGCTCCCACCTTCGTACTACCGGTACTTCCTACTAGACTAGTAGCTGGAAGCTGGAAGCCCCCTCGTCGGTGGAGTTTTTGTCTTCGTGTAGTTGCGATGCAGGACCGAAGCACAGCCAGCCTGCGCGCAGGAGCTTGTGGTGCATCTCACCATAAGCTCGAGTAATTACACGAATGCACCGATGCGAAGGCGGGCATCAAATCTCGATCTTTTGGCACTTTTTCTGTGGAACTGTTTGATTGGATCATGGTTGTTGAAGCATCACCACCTTCCGATCGGAACAAACATAAAAGCTGTTGCGTTTAGCTTGAGTGATGGCCACCAATAGCTCCACCAATCCTCATTTGAGATATCCTGACGTACTCCACATCAGCCTTGCAGCCAACCAGATTTGGCGACGCTTTTGCGGTGGAGAGTTGCAATAGGATTTTCAAGAACAAGAAAGTGGCCCTTCTTAGAATGGAACCAGAAGTGGTCAGCAGGCTTGTGAGCATGAGCCTCCACACAGATTCCCATGCTGGCTAGCCAGTAGAATGCATTCCTATAAAAAGCATTCTATTCTCGTGCTAATTAGACAGCTGGCTACTAGTGCTACCTAGACAGGTTTGGTGTTCACACTGCCTGCCTGCTGTCTGTTCGCATGTAGTATATTGCTAGTACACAACTAGTAACGATTGGCCTGTTGGTGGCTCTGGGCGCTTTTCTAGATGTGATTAGACTGTATTATTTTATCATTTTGCCTGGTTCGTTCGTGGGGTAGTATTATGCAGTTGCTCAGATGTAAAATTGGATGGCTTGTTAGCAACGACGCTAAGGGAACGAAATGAACAATGGAGGGAGAAGAGCATGAAGAATTGTTTCTTAAGCAACTCTGCTGTACCGGTAGTTGTTTCTTGGGGGCGCGGTATTTTCGTAGTAGTGGTACAACAGACAGGCGGGCTGGCATCGTCTCACCTCTGCCACGGAAGTTGGTACTTCATTGTGGTGGCAGGACGATAGGTGGAAGGGACAGAATACCTCCTGGCACCACCTGCAGTCGGCGGCGGAGGAGGTGAAGGAAAGGGCGGGAGCGCATAAGGCATTGGAGAAAGCCCGGGACCTCGCCTGTAGGGGCGATTCCGACTTGATTGTAGAGACCAACCAGGTCCTCGAGTTGCAGTCGCAACAGAGTAAGAATAGCGCTGTTGGGTTAGCGGCTTGTTTGGATCGTAGAGGGGCACAGGGGGTGGTGGTCCTCGACCGTAGTATCTTCTGGAAGCTGACTGCCTCCAATACTGAGCTTCCAGAGTGTTGGGGAGCGATTGGGCCCGGGGGTGGACTCTTGCTTTCCGTGCAGGTACTTCCTTCTTGGTGGTGGGTCGAACGCTAATGGGAGGTGGCTTTGATGGTTCGGGCGAGACCATACCAATACCAAAGTCTTCTAGTCCATCGTCCATGGAGGGTATGCCAATCATATCAGTGGGAAAACCAACGTCAATAACCTGAACTCGGCGACTGGGTGACTCGGATGGGTAGCAAGCAGGCGAGTCTGGAGTGATACCGATAGGAATACCTGGGGCCATGACCACAGCGTTGTCTGTTGGGGCGTCAACAACAGCATCTGCAGGCATTCCAGTGAAATTTTCTCGAGGGAAATCATGGGGCGATTCGGTGGGGATATCGTTGGGCGCGGAGTGTTGGGGAGATCTTGGGGGGCTTGCAATGGAATCCTTGAGACTGGGTGTTCTGGCAAAGGGCGCAACACACGGTACGTCGAAGAGATCATCATATGGTTCATTGGGTTGGTCTACACTAGAGGAGGCGACATCAGAGGACTTGGTTTCTTTCGGGCGAGGGAGTTGAGGAAGGGTAGGAAATGGGTTAGTTCCGTGGAAGGTATCTTGTGCATCGCTGCAGCCTTTGTCTTCTTTCTCCATGATGGCATCTACAGCCGCCACTGCCTCTCTGGCACTGGAAGGACCATTTGGGGATGGCCTTCTGGATCCTAAGTGATTCAAGAACAGACAGTTCGGCCTAGATCTCGGCTGGATTGCCGGCGCAGATCTTGAAGCCGATAGCAACGTTGTGTTCATATGCTTCTTGAATTCTGTGAGAATAACTTCCGAGGCAATATCATGATCCTTAACAGGCATTGGAGATACCTCTGCGGGCCCAGATAGCTCAGGAGAAGTATAGATAATCTTGAGAGATTCGCTTTGGATACCCTTATGGTCGAGCTCCAGTGGTTCTAGGCTGACGTCGTCGTCGTCGTCGTCGTCTAGATACCCCGCACCGCTCTGATAGAGTGGACTATGGATTGTCGCACAGTCAACGAGCTCATTCATTGACTCTGTGGTTGATGTAGTTTCCCATTCATCGTCGTCCCGATGGACAACAAGGTTTGCGTTCATGGTTTGGTTGAGGGAAAGATATGTGCAAAAGAAGAAACAAGATCGAGCTATTCCTTCGTTGCCTTGCGGCAGTGCCTCTAAATTTGGATACCGATAACTAAAGATTTTTCGGTGGGCAGATTGAGTACGTACAATTTGGATAGTCAGATAAAGTACGATAAGGCACAGTGAACCGGTACGCAGTCCGATGTCCGATGAGTCGCCGGTTTTTGGCATGCCGGCTTCCACAAAGGAATCGGTGGAGCTTCGGTAGTCGGTACTACTAGTATGTATTAATAGTAATAGTATGTAGTGATGATGTAGTGGCCTTGGGTAGTTCTTTTCTTGAGGTAAGTACCGTATTTGAGATCCAGCTCATCCAGCCAGATCAGAAGGTGCAACAGTTGTTTGGAAGCCTTAAAAAGAAAATTGCCACATCACACCTGGAAAGAAGTCTCAAGAAGGCAGAGGAACCTGACATGTTTTTAAAATCGGAGAACTGGAGGTTCCAAATGATTACAGCTCATAAAGTGGTAAAATGTACATTCTGCAACGTAAGCGAAGCCATCCATTATATGGTTTTCGCTAGAGCTGCATTTTCAGACCTTGAAGGGAGCCTCAAAAGAAGGTCGACTATTTCCAAAACAATTCAGAATATATTATACCCTGTCCAATAGAAAGTTCAAACGAATTTAAGTACCGCTGTCCTTTTCGGTATTACCCTAATAAATACATTAAAGAAGTCGTGAAAAACACATTGAACCGGAATGCGACAAGATAGACCTTTCCTACGGTGTAATTATTCCGATCTCGCTCTACGGAACACCGTCAGAAATATCATTTGTTGCAACCACTTGGTTGCTTGTCTGGCCACAAAAGCACCCAAAACCCTGCTTTTGTGGCCATAGTATCTGTACCGCTGGTAGCGGTACGGTACCGGTAGCATTCTCCAATGCAAGGAAGTCTCACCGTAGATGCAATTTTGATGAAAGTGATGTGATAAGAAGCCCCTGTAGAATTCTGTGGGTGTTTAGAGTTGCGCTTGTGAAGGACAAAGGCAACTCCACCAAAGAGCGTTCAACAACAGTGAAGGTGAGATGTCAACATGATGTCAAGTTTGTGTGGAATGGTTGCAGTGTTACTACATTAGAAATCTCCTAATTGGGATAACTGTGGGTCCTTCTAACTAGCTAGGTCCTTCTATTGGATTGGATGCTGCCTTGTCAACAGGCGCAACCATGCAAGAGGCAAGAGAGTGATTGGGAGACAGCTGTTCAGGTGGTTGGAAATCGCCTGCTGTGGGCACCCGACAGCTTAGCCAGCACTCCGATGTGGCAGGTGGTGCTTCCTGAAAAACACCAACAGTGGTGACTGTGTGACACTTCCTAGAGGAAGAAAGCGACCGCTGGACTGGAAGAATTGAGAGTTGCTTTGCCGCCGTCTCGTCCTCCTGAAGCTGCTGGCTCTTCTATGCTCCTCCTCTGGCTAACGCCTGCCAGACCCGACTTTCGAATGAGAGGCAGAAGCAGGGTAAGGCAACTCTGCTCGAGAGCACAACAAACCGTCATTCTGCAGATGCTTGCTGTGTGGCTTGTCACTGGTTACAAAGGAATGTTGGTGATTTGGTTTTAAGACGGATTGCTGCGGTTTTGAGTAGGAGGATCGGTGCTGCAATCACTATTCCGTCCACACCCAGTAGGCAAATGTAGTAGAGTTTCCGTACACCCGCATTTCTTCTGTGGTTACTGATTCTAATCCAAGCACCTCGCCATCCATGGCTGGATGCTTGCACCTTCTGCTGGCTCGTTTGCTCGCTGCTATCTCAGTCTGCAGGCAATAACCAATCTAGCCCATCAAATAATTAACAGCAGCGTCAAACCAGCCAGAGGTCAGTCATCTCAAGAATCTGATCAAAGGAAGACAGAATATCCCATTTCTTTTCCATTTCGGGGAACACCAACCAACCCAGTTCAGGCTTGGCCTCGCCACTATTTAGCCCCAGCACTGATGGCCAGCTGAGTTGTCACAACTAGCTAGCCAGTTTGCGGTTCCAGTAAGAATTTGCCATACTAGCAGTAGCTACAGGATAGCTTCCTCACTTGCACAGGGCAGGGATGTGGCGGAGCGACAGAAGGTAGCTTGCACCAGTGTAACTTGCAAAAACTTACTGTGTTACTGCGCATGTGCTCTAGCTAGGCTGCTGATGAACTGCACATGACGGTTCCCGCAGGCTACAGCGTTCCTCTGTGGTGTCTAGATTGTACTCCGTATCAGCGCTGGCTCCCACTGATCAACACTCTTTCTCTTCGTCCTTTACGGGTACGGGTACGAGTACTTGGAGACTGAGCCACTGGGGCTTAGGTGTTGTACCTCTATCCCACTCTGCTGCTTTAATTAACAGTCTGACGATATATTCGTGATTGAACCTGAATTCGATTCAACGACGTCGCCCGAGGGATGAGGGAGGCAAAAGATGGCCGCTTGCCTCTCGTTACGATATTTATTTCGGCCAGGCTTGAGATAAATTGCCTAAAGGGGGGCAAACACAGCTTAGTTAATCAATTAAATAAACTATTTCCTATTATCCACTACAGCCAGACACCCTCTTGGAAGGTTTCCTGTACGCTGGGTTGGCCTACATTAGGCGCTTCGGAATTGCAATTGCAATCCCTCTCGCACAGCACCTTGCACCTGCCGTAACGTCCGCCCTTAATTTGGGCTAAACTTCATATTTTGGCTTCTTCGCTGGAGGAGGTTGGCAAAGGTCAAGATACTTTCCGTAAAAATTTGTAATCTCACGTTCTTTCCCAAGATTGTCCCAATGTTTGATGAATTCTTCCTTGTCTTTTTCCACCGGCTGAACCACACGGATAGATTCCCAATTCTTGCAGCGTGCGTAGTCAGAGAGGTTGTAGCTTCCGACGACGATATGATTGTCGGTTAAGATGATCTTTTCATACATCGACGATTTGGGAGTGCATCCAGAATGGGCCATATCCGCAACCCTGATCTCGATACGCTGGAAAAGAGTGCAGCTGTTCCGAGATTCATGCTTTTTCAAAAAGGCTTTGATTTTGCTGATTGAGTCAGTTGGATAGGGCTCATATTGTAGCTGACCTTGAGCATACAGAGCTTTTCTCTCTTCATATGCAGCGATCACGCCATGGTCCACATATCCAGGATAGCAAAAATATTCCGTGATGCTCCATAGTGAAGAATAAGGTCCAATGCCAGTTCATCGGAAAGGTGGTATGCCTTGATATAAATGTCGGAACCTAAAGGTGACTCGTCGAAGACTTTCACGATCGCACGAAAAGGATGTCCTTCAGGTATGTTCGCGGGGCTACGATCCCACCCTGGACGAGGCTCGGCATAGAACGCTTGCGCACGAAGATCGACATCGTCTTTCAAGGGCTCAATTCGAGGATCGAACCACCCACGGCCAACAATGTCATCGGGGATTTCGATCTCCCCTTCCTGCTCCTCCTGAGCGAGCGCGAGTTCGGCATCTTCTCGTTCTTGTTCCTCCACAGAGTAATCAGGCAAGTCGTCCTCGGGATGTTGTGTTGGTGACGCAGCAGTTGCTCCATTGTTCCCTGTCTTGGCAGCGTCGTGGACACTCGCTGTTGGTTCCGCCATGGTTCATGCAATACTCGTAGCCTCCAGACTGATGATGATGGGAACGAAAGAAAGTTGTTGCTGCGACGTTTGTTGTTGTTGTTGTTGTTGCTGCTCCGTCGTTTTGTTTGTTGTTGGTCGTTTTGGATACCAAACTGGACAGCGAAGCCCTTTGAGCAGTTAACGCTGGGCGAAAAGAATGGATTGCCATGGCTTCTTTACTTCCGCAGTCTAACTGCCTGAGTTCTCAACCCCTTTATTGCTGTTTCCTATTTGGTCTCCCAGACCACGCTCCTTTTGGTTTCCGCACTCTGGAATCGATTTGTCGGCGTTTACTGCGTAAATTACCGACCCTTTGGTATGAAGCAAGACTTCAATTTTAAAAAAAGAGATACTACGGATTCCAGAAGAACTGTCTAGCTAGCTAGACTACTCCAACGAAAATGTTGAGAATTCTCAAACCTACTGGCTCCAACACAAATCTGAAGATCAAGTTGAGAATTCTACAATCCCCCTAACCCAAAACCATTAAAAATCCTGCTGGCGATTCTGAGGAGTTATCACCTTTTTCAAAATTCTCAACTTTTTCGTCAGAGTAGCCAGCGCTGAAGAATATTCCCACCCTCCAAAGGAGATTTTCCTTCCCCTTACATAGCTTCTGTACATTTCTACGTGGGGCGTAATCCGAACCGGCTCGGTTCTTGTTAGATACTAACTCTATCCTTTTAAAAGCAAAGAAATGTCCTATAAGTAAAGCTCAAGGGAAATTTGCTTCCGGACCTCTGAAATTGGCTTGAGAGGGTGGGAAATCCGCTTCCGAGTACAGGAAAAGGACAGTTCTTCTCGAATCCGTAGTAATAGGTTTAACGCTCGGAGTCCCAAAATCTGGGAGACCCCACTCCCAGATTCTGGGAGTGGGGTCTCCCAGAATCTGGGAGTGTCTACAGGTAGGTGTGGTAAATATTGGGTCAGATTTCTATTTTATTCCCGCATCTACCTGAATATCCTGTCTTCCAGGAAAATTGATGCCTTTGAATTGTTGGTTGACGGTTGATGAGTTTGCCATCATGTACAAAGGAGGTTCTGTTGAACCGGAATCGAAGAAGACGGCTGTCGAGGCGTCCCTTGTTGCATTAGTAGTAGCAGCTTGTTGTTTTTCTTTAACAGTAGAGTCGTCGTCGCTCCGTCATGGTAGAGGAGGCGTCCTTTGGAAGAAGTCACTGAATCCGTCGAACGGAAGCTCGTGTCATCGACCGATCGTCGAACGGCTGCCGCTGCCACTAGCTAGCCAAGCAAGAGGAGCATGTCATGGTGGTGAGTAATAGCCTTTGTTAAGAGGAGGAGCAGCCGCTGTAAAGAGAATATAGCATTATCTTGATAGAGTAAACATAGAGTAAAGGTACTGGTAGAGATATCAAGTTCGCAGGGAGACTCCCAGATTCTGGGAGACCCCACTTCCAAAAACCCCACTCCCAGATTTTGGGAGTGATCACTCCCAGATTCTGGGACTCCGAGCGTTAAAGGTGCCAGCCAGCATTATATCTTTGGAGAGGGCATCAATGCAAGCATTATTGCCTATTATAGCATAGTCATATCTCTTCTACAGCATGAGTAACAGAGCAGACAGTATTAGGGTAGAAGTATAAATTTTAATCACGCGTTCAGTCATGCTTTTGACCCTGAGTCATGCTTCCGATTCGAAAAAGCGAAAACAAAAAAATAAAAAAGTGGTTGGAGCAGCCGCACAACAACAACAACAACTGAGGAGCTACCGTACCGATGCTTCAGTCCAGAATCGAATCTTGTGCAACTTTTATGAGAATGTGGAAGCTCCAAATGGGCAAAAACGTTTCGTCAGTCTATGCACATAGGTATTACCTGTGGACTGACGAAACGTTTTTGCTGGATTGATGACTTCCTCATCTCACAGAGCTTGCACAGACGATTGAATTGACTGAAATCGCTGATTTTCATGGGAGTTCGAAAATGTGAGTGCAAAATGTGAGGCTTAGTTTTAAACTAGATGGCTGGCTCTCCAGTCACCAAAAGTCTTTCGAGTTCTCTATTTATTCATTGCATCCAAAGAAAATCGCATCCCACCAAGTGCATCCCTTTTCGATCACGTTTATCAGTGTCGTGGCCATGTTCATCGGTCTTGAGCCCATGTTGATGACATCTTTCTTTCCGCAAAACGAATCAGCGACCATGTTGCATGTCATCGGGTCCTCACACAAGACATCCGATTGAAATTCCACAATGATGTCTTGCCTCTTTGTCAGATGGGATCGATTTTTGCAACCATGGGCATCCGGTTGAGTGAGCTCAAACTCGTGTCGGATTCAACGGCAGAAGATCGCATCGGAATCGATGGATCAGTCAGTTGGAGGCCTCTTCATTTTCGAAGGAAACCATCTCATTATTTTGACTATCAACATTTTACAAGGGAAACTCTGCAGGAATCTTCAATCGATCGAACGAACGAAATGGCTCTTCTTCTTCATTATTTTCCATCCGTCCCTTGGATTGACCGACCATGGGGATCGGCCGTTCGGCTTTCATTGGGATTGGGTTTCTTCTAGTAGCTACCGCGTGTGCCGTAAGGCTTCCGATCCACGCTGTTATTTTCTTCGGAATTCTTCGCTCCGTCCTTCGCTGTTATCTTCATTGGAATTCTTCACGTGGTGTCTTCACGTTCCGTCCGTCATTGACTGATCCTTCCACCCAGCATCGTTTGCTCCAACTGTCCCATCCTTCCACCATGCTGAATCCCAATCCGGTGGCTCCAAAGCGCCGCAAGGGCAGGAGATTGAGTGCTAAGAAGATGAGTAAGTAGCCGGCTCAACAGACTGTCACTCCTCCGACTCCTGATGATGAAGCAATAGCAAAGCGTGTCAAGCGTGCGAGTGAAGTGGCTGAAGCTTTGGGGATGAGTCCAACCCGTCGTTCTCATCATGCTCGTCTTGCAGATCTTTCCTCGGATGAGGAGGAGCCCCTCCGGTCCTTGGCGGATCGCCTCAAGCCTGCCGAAGACTCAATGGAAGAAGACTTGGAGCCTGATCCTGACGATGATATGGATTACATTCCGGATGAGGTCAAGGCTGCTTTGGGCAGATATTGCCAGAGGAGAGGGCGAAGAAGATGGCTATTGCATATCTTTATGCTTACAAGTATGCATTCCACGAGGACACGGAAGACACTCCATTGATTGGCATCAACGGCACGCAAGTCAAGATACGCAGAGACTTGTACGAAGAAAGCAACCGGACAAAGTATGCGGACGTCTTCACTGACTTGCATCACTGCTGCGAGCAGCACATTGTGTACACTGGCCAGCGGGTTCATGCTGGACTCAAGCCCGTCATCATCCCAAACGACTCGTTTGATGCCGTCTTCATTGCCAACTGCATTGAACGGAAGAGCATGAGCATGACAATGGCGATGCAATCTCTCAATCGTCTTCGAATTGAAAGAGGCTTGGTCCCTGATTCAAGATCTGCCGTCAATGGCTTGAAGAAACGACTCAAGCACAGGGTGGTGCCAATTCTCAAGCGGAAGCAAGGCAACAGGGATGTGAACTCCCCTAAAAAAAATAAAAAAAATAAAAAAACGGAATTTTATTTTAAAGGCTACAACTCGTCAGACGATCCGCTGAACGGTGCCGTGACGAACCCATATACCTCAGGCGCACGAGTGCGCCCACTTAGGATGGGCCTAGTGTAAGCCCCCCACCGGAGAATTTTTTTAACAAAACTCCGGAGGGTGCTGTACGACTAACTAGCTACCCTTGGCTGGATTGCCATCTATTTCTACGGTAAGACCCCCTCTGTGCATAGTTACCCTGTGTCATTGTTCTGCACTGTGCGTGCATGCTCGTCCCTGAGTGCCTTGTCGACGACGGCAGCCAATTGGCAAGCCACGCTTGATGTCGCCTGGGCCCTTTGCCATTTGCTCTCAAGCGTCGCTTGAAGATAAAATCACCAGCTCCGCTGGGATCAGATCCGCTTTCTCGTAAATGAGTTCCACCTCCCGCTGAAGCTGTTCGTGTTCTTCTTCCACTGGTCTTCCCTGTCTTTGCATGCCTGGCAGATTTCGATCCTCCACAGGTTCCACCACTGCTGGATGAGCAGTGAGGCTAGGTTGGTGACCCAGAGCTGCCCGTCTTTGGTCTCCTGGGAGCCGACCCAATGCAGATATGCATCTTGATGCTTGCCCAGTGTGTGGACAAACGTCCTTCCTCTCAGGAAGTTGATCCAACCAATGAGATTTTGAGTGTCAACAAGGTCCCTATACCTGTCTGGTAATGCCATGGGTGGAGGAATCGATCTTCAAAGTGGTATTGTAGTCCATCCAGAGCAATTTCCAGGAGGAAGGGGTCTGTGGAATCCTTGCGCACTTTGTGCTGATCGCTCGTTGCATGGTCCCTCGCCACAATCCACGTCAACATGCGGGACTGTAAACATGGGTTCAGTCTCGTGATCACGCCACAACGGGACATGGTGAGCATACTTGGGTCATCCCGGTGGATCCTTTTCCCAACTGGCAACAATTGAAATAGAAACTTCACAATTGTCGTTTGTGGATCTCGTGACGGTTGACAGCTCGACCATGGCTGTCCAATCAACCAGTGCAGGGGTGTCTCGTCCCAGTCGGGATTCAGTTGACAATGTGTCGAACAGGGGTGGTCGTCCTGAGATGCCGCAGTGTTCGGGAAGCTTGTATGTGCATGTTCCTTGGAAGGTGCAGCTGGGCCAGGTTTGCCGGAAATCGGAGTACCTTGAGTGATCCTGTGTCACGTGTCTGTTCATGTAACTGCCTGCCAGTTTGTCAGCTCTGCAGTTCAGTTGTGCTTTTAGGGTAGTGTTTCGATGGCCTTTTGCTTGTCCTGGTGCGATTTGATGTGTCCATCTTGGGCACTGTGACGGAGCCCGGAACGAATCCTCGATCTTTGCAAGACATCCCAGTCGGATTCAACGAATCATTGGGGTACCAGCCCTTCGTACTCGAGACAGCTAGCGCACTTA